GTGGCTAATACGTTGGGGCCGATGACTCTGTTTGCCTTGCATCAATCATGGCCTGGTCACCCAGTGGTCACAGCCTCAAGAAGTTCAAAATGATTCTGCAAGCCTCGAAGTCCGGTCTATCCGATTGACTTCGCACTGTGAAGCAAGCGGAACAGCAAGCCGCTGTCAGTGTAACAACAGACTCGCTTGACAATTATGTGTGCTGTGTATCGGAAACGGAATACAAGATTCAAGGATGCCTGCTGGGTTAGCTACCCCAACGCACTCCACTTGCTTTTGGCTGTGCACGTTGGCGACCCAGAGGACGCCACAACAGGAAGTGCATGGTTCGGTGTTGTCTCAATCTTTTGGATACTAGTTAATATTTATCTTTGTGCGGCTGGTCTGGCAACCTCCGTGAAGGATTCTCACATGCAAAAATTTGACCGTTATCTGTATCGTATCTATTTACGTCCCAAAGTCATATAGACAACCTTTGTGAGGCTTTGAGTGTCTTGTGTTATGGCCAGCCGAAAGCTCAGATAACGTGGTTGTTGGAGATCTGGATGCACAAGTGAGCAGGCTTAGCGTGCCTGGGACTTACTTGGGTGATCAGCTTGAATTCGACTCGGTACGCACAGGAAATCGCGATTAACTGGTGGTTGTTGGAGATCTGGATGCACAAGTGGGCAGGCTTAGCGTGCCTGGGACTTATTTGGGTGGTCGGCTTGAATTCGACTCGGTACGCACAGAAAATGGCGATTAACTGTTTTAGCTACCCGCTGACTGAAGACTTTTTATGCGGTACTGACTTCCGAAATAACCGAAGTTCTCAGACCTTGTAGGGTCCTCCAACAACGGACTAGCTGCGTACCCAAACTGAACATACCACTGTCATTTTCCGATGGCGTGAATCAATAACTGACTGCCGCTTGTTTTGGAAGACACATGTGGATCCTGACTTTGAATTCGTCTGGAGTTCTTTCTCTCTTAGTTCTCCAGGGTCTTGTAAGTGGTGTGCAAATCTGCAAGCAGGTGAGGAACCTGAAAATCTAGAAGTTAGACTGGAAAGTGAACACCGCATCTTTCCACACTGCTGGGAGTTTCGTCCATGACATGGCGCTACAAGGTCCGCCTAAGCAATGGATATCAGACGAAACAGTAACGCTGCCTGAATCTCTTGGCTAACTGCTGATACTCACTTGTATTATCGAAATGAACTGGAACTCTAGACTCTGAATATGTAATGCCCCATGGTCTCGAGTTTTCCCTCAACTATCGCAAAACATTTGGTCTGGATTGCTCCTCATGTGTATTATTGGAAGATGGAGATAAAGTTTTCGATCAGCACCCTCGTGACTTATATGCCTCCACTGGTAGGAAGCGAGCGAGAGAATCGACGATAGCGCCTATTTTCAAGAGAGAATTAAAATGTAATTGTTCGGTTGTGCAACTGGGATTTCAACCAAAGAATGTGTCTCATACCAAACGTGCGCTGTTTGGGCATGTATTGAGTATGCCGAATCACTGGTTCCCATGTCCAATACAGAGTGGCGGAAGCAAAAAGGCGGCTAACGCTTAACCCGATAGAGTGGTATGAAAGAGATTACGAAAAGTCTGCATACGGTCGATGTGACTTGATTTCCAGGACGGTATCCATGTGATGTGCATTGCTTGAATGAATATCCGGTTGTGTAGGCACCCCGTAATATTGTGGTAAGCCAACACTAATTCCCTTCATCACCAACTTTTACTATTTTCTTCACAACAAGCTTCTCAAATCAATTGTGGTTGTGTCAAAGAAGGACTGTGTTGAAAGCTGATGTTGCGCTTTCATTAATGCTAATGAAACGTGTATCTGGATGATGGGGCAATTCTACCAAAATGTGTATTGTTCATTTCTATTTTATTTTTAATTCACCAATCGACCACTCAAACCCATAAAGAGTAACCATTTAGGTCCCAAACAGCCTGTCTGAAGCCAAGCGTTTGAGTAATTTAACAGTACGTCGCAGTCTTTGTTCAGCCTTCCCTCGTTAGGCACACCCGAATATACTCAGCCTTTAGCGCGCCAATTCTGGTCACCACTTCTCAGTAACAATTTGCGCGAGTTGTGGCCAAAAGTCAGAATGATCATACATTTTTTTATGAGGGAGTGAATAAATGGACGGTTTTTGAGGCGGATTTGCCGATCAACAATGCCTACTTGTTTTAATGGGACCAAAATTGGCCCTCGCTGCACGGAAAGCTTGACACCGGTGAATAAGCTTGGGAAATGAACACGCAGCAAGCCTAAATGTGATGACATAAGAACAGACAGTGGCACGAGTCATATGTTTATGATAGAGGTGTAGGCTTCAGTTGCCACGCGTACAGTATACCGTTTCTTGCAGAGTGCCACTATGCAAGTGTTACCGCGGATTGCACACTAATACCACCAAGACGGTATTTGATAACCTGACGGCATTCCCAGCTTAACCTTTTGTTTATGATGTTTTGATTCAAGTAGAGCATCACGTTGACGGGAACTTGAAGACCACGTCCATCCAACGAGCTCCAAGTAGAACGAAACCGATCGTGGCTGTCAAAGAGGATTGCACACTAATACCACCAAGACGGTATTTGATAACCTGACGGCATTCCCAGCTTAACCTTTTGTTTATGATGTTTTGATTCAAGTAGAGCATCACGTTGACGGGAACTTGAAGACCACGTCCATCCAACGAGCTCCAAGTAGAACGAAACCGATCGTGGACTGTCAAAGAGTTTTCAGCAAATCTATGAGCACCGTGCTAAGTCGCATAATGTACTGCAATGTCTCATATTTCACACCAGCTGATACAATCTGATCAGCAAATTTATTTGAAGAGTAATATTAAAATCGAGCAGCTTGGCTGGGATTCGGGTGAGTTTCTTGGACAAACCAGATTGTTGTACAAATGCGTGCATATATCACAGAGTTCCTTCTTCTTGAGTACAAAGAAACGGATTTCTAGAAAGTGCTGTTTCCGAATTCATCTGAAGATTTCTGTGTAGTTTGTGCCACTACTCAAAAACCTACTTATGTCGCCACGACTAACTGGAGTTTTTTAATGTGGTTCCATTCCGGACTGAAAAGTAACAAACCCAGCATCTAAACTGGACTAACGCAACTAAAATCTTTGTTGATCAAAACATTGTAGCCGGCGGCCAATTGGAAAGTGACCATACCTAGGTTTGAAAGACGATTTCACCATTTTACCTGTCAGTAAGGAGCCACAGGTTTCTGATGTAAGTGTTGTCTGTCGTCAAACTGTCATAATGAAAACATCAGACCTACAACTAAACTGCTGGAATTAACCGAAAACTGAAACTTATTTGCTTTGGGAACACATCTCTCTTTTAGCTGCTTTCCATCCGGTGTCTGCAAACGACTAGTTGTTTTTGCAAATTGACCCACCCTGAACCATCTCCGATGAACTGAACGGAGACATTTTTCAGCGACCCCGCCGGGCGCAAGCCTGATCACCTGGAATATCCACACAAGATTTTCCACATCATTATAACCTAAACCTTTCTAACCACGACCTGAGCTTCCATTCAGCTTAGTCTCTTTTACAGCTCGGTTCAACGGACGGGGTGTTTGCTGTGTGATCAAACGATATTATCATTATTTCAAAGCAGTCGTCGGATGGTCAGAAAATATACACGCATTTAAATGCCTCCGTACACATAAAAAAGACGAATTTAGATCTCATATTAACCCACAGCAGTTGAGATATCAGCGTCATCTACAGGTAGCTCAACCAATAGCGGTGAATTTAGGAAAGCCAAAAGATTGTCAGGAAAATCAAAGTGATGACTCCTCACACAAAAGGCTGTTTAAACGCACATAACTTGTAGTTATTCTCAAACAACTTTGAGAAGAATTTTATGCTGCTTATACAATGAAGCTACTTTTCAACAGCGTTCGGGTATCTGCATGGGTCTTGCTTTTTCCGTGCAGATTAGTGACGTACGTTATATCTGCTACTTAAACTATCACTCTGCAGAGTTTATAAACATTATGACTGGTTGTTTCGCTTACAGCTATTGGTAAAAACACGTCAGGGGAAAAGTTTTTCACAAACCATTGTTTCCATCAACGTGTATGACCTTTGTCAGAAGCAACTCATCAGGGAAAGATACAACAGAGGAGAAGCATGGTTTCCACCAGTAATCACAATCTATTGGACTGAATCTGGTACGGATTTCCTGAAATAAATCAATAATTGGGTTACGTTCTTTTGCTCGCAAAATGCATGCCTCACTCAAACAGCACGCGTCTTTCGTCAAAATCGCATTATTCTTGAATGTGCCTTCTCATTTGGAAACCAAGCTTTCGGTCATAATTTCGTAGCATTCTTCCGTATAACTCAATTCCTCACAGATTTTCACTCAACTCGCTTCGCATTTGAGCACATGAGCTTGCCAAAACTTGCAAGTACTTCAGTTGCTAGAAACGAACATCACCAGTTCACCGAAACCTCTGGACGAAATTGCAATGACATTGCATAAAGAAAGCAGGAATTTTTGAAGCGATCTCCCGTAGTGCTGATTTAGGTGGTGCCCCAAGGCCTCTTGCAAGTCTAGTATGGATAAGCCCTGGATTTGCACCACGAAACAAGTACGCAGCATTTCATCAAAAAAGGTATTCTTTACAGTACCACTGCACTCATCTGGGCATGTATTATTATCCTACGGCATCACTGGCTGGATAAGTCTTTCAGCCCATACTCGAAGTATGGACGTCCTCTCATTGATTTGGCAGCGTTGATGGCATATTAGCGCTCTAGCATGTTTTTCTGAAAGGAACGTCCATCAAATACTGGCTCTGTTGCGTAATATCACATCCTACATTTTTTAATCCCATGAATTACCTCACATAGTCTATTGTCTACTTTCTCCACTCTGAAGGTGACACTGAGAGAACCCTTTTGCTCTGAAAAGTTTCGACATCTTAAACGCCCTTGGAACGCTTGGCGTTCCAAAGAGCACGGTCAATGGAAGACGAATCACGAAGCACTGCTGACAACACCCGAGGTTTCATCCAACGGCAGCCACCCAGAATCCAACCTGAAAGTACAAAGTTCCGATCGGAAACACATGAACGCGTAACACGCACGAAGCTCCGTCGAGAAAGAGCCAACGCGCGTGAACGGTCACGAATGCATGATTTAAACTCAGCGCTCGACACACTGCGCAAACATATTCCTCTGTCCAACGAATTATATCCAACAGTGAAGCAGAACCCAAGTGTGTCTAAAGTGACTTCGTCAGTTCGACCCGCCGGACATTTGAATCAAAAGCTAAGCAAGATTGAAACTTTGCGGTTGGCGAGAAACTATATCATCCTGCTGGTATCGATACTACGTACTAAACAAACTCCAACCACGGAACAAGTGGTCAACTGCCTATGTAGAGGACTTTCTCAAATCACAACCAATCAGATTTCTTCAGCGGTGCAATCGATCGGCGATGGGTGTTGTAACCTGACACATGTGTCAGCAGGATCATTTGATAACAGTGGCACATTGCACATTTGTCAGTTCTTACCGAGGCCAAATAGGGAATCGCATGAATGTGGTCCTATACCACGGCAAAACCTGGAGCTTCAGTTAACAGGTGTTGCTTCTCGTTCCGGTTTACAAGACAGTGTGAAACAAATTGAACACTCGGCTTCAATTACGCCATTTTACTACTCCTGCATATCAACAGACGTGGCACCACAGGACACGAAATCAGAGTTCGAACATTTTAACCACGCCTGCAACATGTTGCCCTACTCCGATTTTGGCCTGCACTCTTTTGTGGATAGTTCTCTGAATGGTCTATCGTACGCAAAACATTTTAGTCAGACAACAGATGGTACATATTCCCACACCAACTGATTACCTCTACCAGAGGGTTTGAAAAGCGTTCGTTTGCTCACCATTCCATTGTCTTCTTAAGTCGTTTGTTTGCACGATGAAATGGCTATGTTTGACATCATTATTTACCTGATAGAATACAGCATGCAGGAATGATGGTGGTGTCATTATTTCTCACTTCTGTGTTATTCTTTGCTGAACACAGCTTCCTTACAACAGCTAAGTAGATGGCTGGTTGACCCCTAATAGCACTGTCACATGTAGCCCCACGTGAAATGACAGAAATCCAGTTAGGTTTCTTCGGGTTGACAGGCGTCACAATATCTTGATAGTTCATGAAGTTATCCAGCTTTACCGGGCAGAAACAAATCACAGTTAGCTATCTGGCGAGTTGACTGCGTGATGCTTTCAGAGGGTTGTAAGCACCCACGCGTGTTGTTTTTACTGTTGGAGCGGAATTCAGGAAAATGACACTAGAATGTCACCTACAACACTTCCCCTGTTGGTTTTGGTCACGGATAATGACCGTTTGTTGAAAATTTGCTATGCGGGATTCACACGATAAAGGCACGTCCTACTCACAAATTTTCAACACTGTTATTTCAATTAAACGAAGGACTACAAGTGCAACTTTTTCCTCAAAGACCGCTAAACAGCATTCGCCTCTTGGAGGAGATTTAGAAGTTTCCTCAACTAATAAAAAGCAAAAACCTCCCTACGAGGCTCAGCATTTCACAATAGCATGTTGTTCGTTACGCTACGACGTAAATTCAGCCTGTGTTTTTCACATTGTGCCTTCTCTTGTGGTCAATATTCTTTGAGGTGGAGCAGTTCATGTTGTTTATGTTCTCTCTGACTACCGGTTGCTTTAAACACTGACTATCTCTGTAACTTACTGATATTTCATGTTCTCACTTTTAGAGAGAATTAGTAACATGTAGCTTGACATTAGGAAAAGGTAAATTTTGGGCTGTAGGCCCACACGATGCCCGAGTTGAATAGCAGATCCTGGATTTTTGTTGGGAATCCTGAGATAACATTTGTCACAATTCTTGAACGTCCCCACCAAATAGCACTTTGTAAACAAATGACTTGTTGATTCACGATAAAGCAAACCGATTGTTTCCGACAAACGAAACGAGTCTATTTTTGGCCGTTCATAATAGAATGATAGCTGCCAAAGCGGTATGGTATGCAACAGTCTACAAAGCCCACTGCAGTCTTTTGCATGTGGTAGTCACACCAACGCAAGCCTCTGGCTAGTTGGCTTATCAAAAAACAGGCAAATGAATTTGACAAGCATCCAGAAATTTGTGACAAACCCAAGAACCGATAAAGAATGACGTTCGGTAGGGTTTGTGTGTACACACATGTTAGGACCATATGGCAGATAAGGAGTAAGGCTTGTCATATGCGCCATCTGTTTAAATTAAGTGCGTATTTGCCAAGTCAGTGAAAAAAAAACAGAAACATTGATGTTGTTCACTCAGAAGCAAAAAGATTACTAACTGAATCTCTCATTTATGGTGTTTTTAAACAACTGGATATGCTGCACCAGGCCGCTTCATGTTTCAGTTGGTATGATATTCGAGATATCGCGATACATGTATAGAAGTGACGCACTATTCATAAGGTTGCTGAAAATTCGTCGACAGCCCACGACCGGTTTCGCCCTTCCTGTGGCTCATCAGGCACGCGCAGTCTCCGAGTTTCCATCAACCTTATGTTCCATTTGTCGAGGGATTTTCAGCAACCTTATTACCAGTGTATCGCGATATCTCGAATATTGTACCAACTGAAACATGACGCGGCCTCTTGCAACACAATCAGTTGCTTTGAAAATTCATGAACGAAGGATTTAGCTGGGTTCCTGGTGAGCCTCCCGGAAAACATATTGGTTTGACGAAGTGTTTCCTGATTATTTTTTTTTAAGTGACTAGATTTCACATTTTCTCCGTATGCCCCGCGCTCTTTGAATTCGGTAAAAAAAGCAGCGGCCGATTTTAAGCAATCCCTATACGCATGGAAAGAGGAACGATGCCAGTTATTCTTCATTCGTGATCGAATTGGCTGGATACATCCAGGTTCAAAAAGAAAATGTAAGATGGGATCAAAGTGTGCTGTGGTTAAAAGTGGATAAACGCGCGCTCACGACCTCCATACGTGACTGACACAAACTTCCATCTCAACTGACCTACGTTCGGACACTTCCTCCGAAACCTTTGGGGTTTACAGTGGCTTCCAGAATGTAAGTGTCAGCAGTGAATAACCCGGATGCTAAGTGGTCCTGCACATGTGTGAATTAGTGTTCAGGTAATCGACACTTGTCCTGTTTAGCCAATCCTAACTAGATGCTATGCAAAAGTCACTGTGGTACCATGATCAATAAATTCATTCTCAAAAGCATTATGCCACTGCCTTAAGCGTTTCTAGGTTAGAGCAAGATTGCAGGTCATCCGTGAATATTGTCAGTAAACATACACACACATACGAAAGAAACTTACCACTCAGCATAGTAGACTGTAACAGGCTATCTAGCTACCGGATTCTCAGTTCTGCCGCTAGTTTTCTAAACTACTTGCGATTTCAGGTGATTTCGCGCAAGGTACCTGAAATATTTGGTGGTTTCGGCCTTGAGCCGTCAGTTCAACCGTTCTCGTTAATTCTTCTACGTTTCTTTGGCGTTCGAATTAGCCTCTTGTGTTCTGTTGCTACCAGAACCATACACATTTTTATATCATTTAGAATCAGAGCGAATAGGGACCCTGTCTAGGACTTGTTGAATTGTGTCGTTGTACATTTTCGAGAATCTCGTCAATCTGAAGTGATAGGCAGGAGAAATTTTGTGACAACTAAGCAAGAATTCAAACCGACATCAGACTTCTGGACTATCAAAAAGGGTGAAATCCATCAGTTTTGGTCACAGAATCGTATTGCCATAATCCGTAAGGTTGGAAAAAAATGTGTCAAGGGTCTTATTAATTTGAAAGACGCGTTTATGTCTTTACAAATGCCGCAATGAGTTCTTTTATCTGCATTCAAAACCGCACACAAGATCAAAGTCATCTTAAAGTCATTCCAAAGTTCCACCATTCCCTACATGGATCTTAAGGCATTTCGACATCGACACCATTTAAACCAGCACTAAGAACTACTCACGCACATTTTCTGTACACAATTGCCACCAGTTCCATAGTTTTCTCTGAAGACTTGTGATGTACTAATGCATTACTAGAAGACCGAATTGCGGAAGGTAGCCGTTTTGTTGGTGTGCAGTGAGGAAAATATTTTGAATTAAACAGTCATGTTTTTGAACGTGTTGTACTTTTTTCATTGAATAGCGTCTTAATGTTGTTTTAGTGGATTTACCAAAACAACTCACTGATTTCTTGTAGGTTCCATAATGTTGTGATCTGATGAAACTTGGTATTAACTTTTTCAGGGTACATAGATGAGTCCTCTGGTTAGTGCACCGCGAGATTTGATTTTCGTACTCCCCTTGACAAATAAATTGTTTAATCAGTCTCACTTCCTTTTGAGAGCGCGGTGACACCAGTTTACTAGTGCCTCATTTGTTGACATGAAGCTGATAGACAAGTTTGTCTTAAGGGACTGTGGTGGGTGAACAGTAAAACACTGTACCTGGTCTCGGTAAAAGTCATTGGTCTGTATTTTGATGGGCCCAACAAAGAGTGTGGCAAAAGTGAACGACTACCAGCTGTATGTTTGTTTCATCAAGATGAAACCTGAACGTTACAAAGTTCATGTATATCAATTTTTCGTAAATTTGATGTTTGCGGTATCGCACTGTTACTTTAGTTTATTCAGTACATTATAGACTGTGGCATGTGTTGGCACAAAATATTTACGTTTACGAGGTGCAGTTAGACAGTATCGCTGTAGGTAAATTTCAAATACAGCAATAAAACTCTGCTTAATTCCTCCAGGCAAGTTTATGGGATCGACACACAAAGGATATTGGAAGATACGTCTCTTATCAAAAGCTCCAAAATATGTTTGCACTATGTTCTAAAACATACCATTTTCCCGCGGGTTTAGAATTATTTGAAGTTTGGTTAATTAAAAGATGGTGAACTATAAACTTTATTATTTACTCTCATTGTAGCCAGAGGGAAGGGGTGAAACAGAAGAAGTTTTTGATGGTAAAATGATCTCTTACAACGTTTTTTCCCAGTTATTGGTGGCGGTGAGGTTTGTGCAAGTCATTTTCACATCGCTCCCCTGCTAGTCTCCCAGCACAATTATTTTATAAATCTATACCAAGGGGGAGAAGCTCGGGATTCGAGTTTCGATCTCATTGGAGCTCACTGGCAGTGCATTTCCCTGACCTTGTCGGAGTTTCAACTCCAGACACCTCATATGCGAGGCGAACTTGTTACGAATGGCCTACCAGCACACACTAGTCGCATCTGAGTTATCACACGTGAACGGGCGCAAGTGTTGACGGTTAAGCGATGTGACTGGTTTGACCGACGCCTCGAACGATGACCCAGTAGCAGCCCTGGTTTTGTTGGTCAGTTGATTCACCCGCCCGTCCCAAACAGGTAGTAGGTTGAATCTCAGTGGACAGTTTTAACTTAGTTGTAGGTGGTTGCTGATTATCTGTAATAGAATCAACAGTCGAGTCCAATGGACTCACCAGAATAAATTTATCCAAACAAGTGGAGGACCGTTCAAACGAGAGCTAGGTGAACATGAATTTTTCCTTAGTCCCATAAAACCAACCCTGCTTGAAGTAGAGCGGCGTGGTATAGTGAACACATTTATGATATATTTTTGTTCAAAAGAATCAGGGTTATAGGAGATTTTATTACGTTTCTACATCTTTAATGAACTTTTTCAATTCATCCCGTGAATATTCACCGCGCCAGCTCGCTTACACTGTTGTGCCTTTAATATATGTTGATCTCGTATACTTCACGGGCTTTCAGTCGGGTGAAGATCAAGACTACATGTTGGCCTTTCTAGAATTTTCACGAAAAGGAGCGTGAATCTTACTC